AACAGTAGAGAGTGTCATTTTTGTTTTACAGAAGAAAACATTGTGTTTTTTAGGTCAGTGCTTTTTGAATGAAAACGTGTGTTTGTTGGGTAACAATATGTGCCAGTGTAATGGAAAAATTTATTGATTTGAGACATGTATGAAGTGTTTTGGTAGGTTTAGAGCATTTGAATGTGAAATTAACTGCTGTGCCAAAATGAAAGCTGGTAAGGAGATCTGTGTGAAGGTTTTTTTTTTAATTGCTCAAGTATTGAGAAATGTGTCTCACATAAAACTGTATGAATATAATCGTATTTGAAAATATCAAACAAATCTGCAATGAAACCAGACTTACTGCATGTTGCAGCCTAAGTCTGCCTACATTATATAAGGTGAAATAAAGCAAACATGGCCTCTCACTGCCCTGTGTCATGTCTCTCAACAGGCCCACAGAATAAAGCATAACAGCGAACCCTGCACAACTGCACCCTGCTTTCAAACACCACCACTTCTTCTGAGCCAAAGAGAAACTCAAAGCACAAGGCTGTCAGTCAATGTCAGCAGATCAGTAACAGGCCTCTGAGATAGAGTTACTCACATCCCCATACAATCACAGACCTGTGTTTACAGCTAAAACACACAGCATTCCTATAGGACGGACTCCTGCAGACTTAAAGATATCCTTAGTGAACATTACCTGCACAGAAACCAATCTATAACACCAACACCTTTTGAAGATTAGCTCACATTTTGATTCTTACTGGTTAGACAAGTTTACAGATTCAAAATATCAAGTTACTGAATGAAGACTTGCTAACACCTGCATGCAAATGCAAACCATACATGATATTGTGTTATCAAGGTAGTGTGTCTACATACTCCACATATACAGTATGTGCCAGCGGAGTACTTTTTTAGTGATTACTCTGCATACTGACACACAGCCTATATGATTCCAGTGTTAATGTTTTTGTAGTCTCACCATAAGGGTGTAGGGGAAGGTCAGTGGATGATGGTTTGATTGGCAGGTGTAAAAGGGCCTGAGGAACTGAGAGAGCAGACAGCCGGGGCTCAGATGAGGGACAAATTTGTGAGGTAGCATCTGAACCAGGTAACAAAACTAGCTGCCGTATCAGACCCTGCAAAAAACAGTGGAATGAACTGATACATTTAGATTTCAAGTGCATTGTGAATCTTATTAAAATGATAAAAGCCTTGAAATGAGATTTGTACAGAAAATAGACCGTTCCATCTTCTTCTGCTAGCAATGAAGAATGTGGAACCAGTTGTATCAAGATTATCTGGGAAAGGTATTTCAAGCTCCCTGTTTGAGACAAAACAGGACATTTTATAAGTTTATGCAACAAAATTATATAGTTCAATACATAAATGTAAAAATGATCTTCCATTTTGACTCATATATCATTATAACCTGACATCTACAGCATTCCCAAAGAGAGTCTTACAGCTCTAGAGGTGTGCCACAGTCCACAGTGAGAATTGTGTAGCGTCCCGTCACGGCCAAGACCACAGTGTGCCAGCGGTTATCATCCAGCCCTACTGCCTTAAAAGTGATGCGTTTCCTGCTACCGTGACCCTTCTGTAGAAAGTGGAACTTGTTTTGGGACAGACGCAGGCTGAGGAGCGGCTCATCTGAATCTCCCTCCAACAGTGTGAAGATGTA